GGCTGGCCTGGCGTGGCGGTCCCAGCGCTCCCTTTAACACCGAAATGGGAGCCTGAACCTCTGCTGGGCAGCCCGCAGCTGGGCGTTAATCCGGACAGGGCTTCGTGTCGGGGAAAGGAGGTGGATAGCGAGCGAGGGGCGCCTCCCCAGAAAGCGTGGGCAGCCGGGGCTCGGGGAGGGGGCCCGGGTGTCCCAGCGGGAGACCCCGGGGCGGCGACGGCTGAGGGAAGTGGGAGAGAGCTGCTTTACCTCTGGGAAGTCTGGGTCGTGTTCGCTCGCAATCCTGAAAACGTGTGCTGCCTTTTTTTATTATTTTTAGCTACATTCCTGTGTGGGTTTGGGTTTTTTGTGGTTTGTTTTTTTTTTTTTTAAAGCACAAATCCTATGTGCATGTATGTCACCTATCAGGAGAACACTTGTGACTTTAATTTACACCATATGCATTACTGATTTGCAGCTTGCAGATCACCTTGGTGCCTGAGAAAATGCCTTCCATCCCCACTCTTGGAACGCGCCCGCTGCTGCGACAGTGCATTTGGTTGTAAAGTAACACAAAATGTTTATGACATCCACATTTGCAAGCAACTGTTGCCATGGTGTTATTTTTATAACCATTTTACTGCATAGCACAAGCTGAAAAATAGAAAAAGCCATTTCCAGTGTGTGTGTGTGCATGATTATGTGCATGTAGGACAATAGAAAATGTTTGATCAAGCTACAACAAAAATATGTCTGAAAACTTGGAGCTTTATTTAGAATTGAATTTACACAGAGTGCTCAAGTTAGCAGAAATAGTCATTGTAAATTATGTGCAACTGATATACAAAGAGCAAGAGTTGTGTGTGCAAATACATGAATAAGCTGTCCCTCATGGAATTAATTATATGCATGCCTTTGCTTGTTCAGACCACTGAAACTAGATGTAGTGTGTATGATGGAGGAATGGAACTACAGTACAAGTATTATATTGCAAATATCTAATTTTCATGGAAAAATTGTGTGGGTGGCTTCCATTACAGCTAGGTAGCTTTAAACAAATAGAAACCTCAAATAAGAAAGACTAGACATCTTAAAAGTATAAAACTGACAACAGAAATGTCTTTAATTTCTTATTTTAGCTTCTAAAAATATCTCTAGGGTATTAAAAAACATAAAAAGAGCAAATGTACTGGAGAAGAAACTGGTACACAGATCCGTATTTTTTTCATTTTACATTCGAGTTCTGTGTTTTCAATTGACAAGATAAAGCCACTTTAGAATTGTGAAAGGTGAGATGGTTATTAAAGAAGAAGTCAACTTTAATAATACAATTGTCTTACCAAGTAGTCCAATTAATATGGTATGACAAGCAAATTCAGTAATCTAAAGTATGGAGAGAGAGGGAACCTCTAGAAGATTATTTTGTTGCATTCCAACACAGAGGTGTGACATACATGGGTTGAGGTTTGTTTTGATATGTTTTGGTTTTTTGAGGTGCTCGTCTCTATTAATCACTGGTAGCTACAGACTTAGGCTGGATGCCTAAATAGAGACTGTTTAAAATTCAATAAAGTTAATCTCTTTTTCTTTCTGCATCTGCAAGTTGACGCTTAAAATCTCCACTAAGTTTAAAGGAACTTGGCAGAAAATGAGTATTTTTGTATTCAGACTGAACTATCACGATATTTTACACGGTGCTCGTCTCTATTAATCACTGGTAGCTACAGACTTAGGCTGGATGCCTAAATAGAGACTGTTTAAAATTCAATAAAGTTAATCTCTTTTTCTTTCTGCATCTGCAAGTTGACGCTTAAAATCTCCACTAAGTTTAAAGGAACTTGGCAGAAAATGAGTATTTTTGTATTCAGACTGAACTATCACGATATTTTACACTGACTAGGTGGTGTCCTTTTCCAAAATACGTAACCTATCACCTATTTAATCCTATTCCTGGATTGCTGTGCATAAATGGATAAATGATCACTTGTCCTTTGGGATATTCAGAATAATGACTTACTTGCTATACATGTTTTTCCAAAAAGTTCTCATATTTCTGTGCTAAAAATACTAAATTTGTTTATATATGGATATGCAGTTGCAACAAGACAATGTGATCTTATAGTATATAACAGAACATGAAAATAGGGGAAAGCACAGATCTTCTGTTTTTACTGACAAAGGTGGTAGGACAGAACAGGAGATTATTCATTTTCTAAACCACCAGGACTGCAGGTGCCCAGTGGAGTTCATCTGACCCACAGAGTAACACCGTTTATTCCCTGAAGTACTTCAGAGGCCTCCTAGTACATTTGAGTATGTCCATGCTTCAGCCCCACACCATGGGTAGAGGGGATTGTCACTGTATCACTTTAGAGACCACATTATAGAAATACAGGTTTGCTTTGGATAATAAAGTTCAGATTAAACCTGGTTTAAAATGTAACCTCTTGCTGAGCCCCTTTATACGGACTTAGATGCTCTCTAGTCCAGCCTCCCACGTTCTCCATCCTCTCTGGGGAAAATACAGTGGGAAGAGTTTTATCACAGTCTAACAAGTGACACTTGGACAATAATTAGGTGATGGGCTAAATAATTCTACCATTTTTTATCTTGTTTTTTGACTTCCCAATGATTTCGATAGGGCTTTACTGAAAAATTGATAGCACAATGGCTCTTTGTAACTTAACCTATTGTTCAATAGCTGTGAATGATGCAACATGCTAAAACCGATGTCTAATACGTGATATTTTTAATCACCAAAGTTTATAATCTTCAAAATACAGTTGTTCTTTGTCTACAATATTAGAACTATGTTCTTTATTTTTCACGGTTTATATTCGATTTCTGTTTTTCAAGTCCAGTATAATTTCTAAAAATTACAGTGTTGAAGGTCTCCATTTCTCTATATATTGTACTAGTAAGATTTTTGTTTCATGCAATGTCCCAAATATTTTAAGTAAAATCTATTTTCATTTTCATACAGAGAATTTAAACTACTTGCATATTAGTCTCACCTTTGTAGTCTTATTGGCCCCTGATTTAATGTTGAGTGTGTTTCAGTGCATCTCCCTGAAAGGCCTGTATTTTTACAGCACATTTATTTCATGTAAAAAGAAAAATATTTAACAATGAAAAATAAAATAGCACGATTGCACTCACCACTTTTTAAGAAATGGATACAATATACACCATTACAGTATGGTGCTTGCACAGTTCTTTACTATCTTCTATAATTAAATACTTATCATCAAAGGTATTGGGCTGTATGGCTTTTTCACAAAAGGTATTTTTAAAAACTGCATCTTCATTTTATTGAATCAATGAATTTATGCTAGAAGGGATCTCTGGTGGTCATCTAATCCAACCCCCCAAAGAAAGCAGATCCTACTACAGAATTATTTTCCATCTCACGTGTTTGTACAGTTCTGCATACCTACAGAACATCCATCAAAAAAATATGAAACTTATCTGGGACAAATTTAAAATTGCCTGTGTTATACTAATGCTACAAAGAAACTAGTAAAATTAACTTGCTTTTGAGATTGTAAATAAATCTCACTTGGAAAGGTGTGAAGTAAATGCGAAATAGATAAATGCATATTTCCTTTTTTCTTCTTGTTACCGGAAATATTTTATCAGTGTTTATCAGGTGAAACCCAGAAGCCCAAGGAAAGGTCAGTAGGATATCCCACCTGCATTCCAGCTATTGCTCCAGAAGAGTGCAGGTCTCCCGTAGGTCCAGTAGCTGCAAGCCCTGTGCAGGTGTTTCGAATACTCCACGCTGTCTAAAGCATTCAGGCACTTGAATGACTTCTCTCGCTCATACTGTTAATCCTGCTGATGGCCCTGATGACATCACAGTGACCATAACAAGTTCAGGACCAGAATTTTGGGAGAATGTTTTTTTTCAATAAATAATACAAGCTTGACCCTATATTTGAACAGTTCAAACTATTTTCAATTAGAAGCTAGTGATTAATTTGAATGGTTAGACTACTGCCTGGGAAACGAGATTTGAATTCTTTAGTTTTTCTAGTATTGTGTGTAATTTAAATTCATATATGTTACACAATGGTAAATGTAAGGGAAGAAGGCAAAATAGTCCACATGCAGCCTACGGC